AAAAAACCGGCCGGACCTTTGATGAGCTTTTAGCAAGAAAAATAAATAAACTTTAGTTTATTTCCGAAGTTAAATTAGCATTGATTAGAAGACCGAAGTAAGTTAATATTTATTGAGTTTTTCTGATGGTGAGGTAAAATATTCTATATAACACATGAATAATCACCGGAAAGAGAAGTTTAAATTTTCAACAAATAATCGAATTGCAAATTTTTTGACGTTTTAAGTCATTGTGCATAGTTATTAGATATAGAATAGTTAGATACCAAAATTGAAAAAATAGGTGAACCATAAGTTTTCTCAAAATTTGGTAAAGATTGTCGATTATATATAGTTATTAAAAGTTTTTGCACCTTGCTTCAAGGCAAAATACACTTGCACCTATTCATACTACGATTTATCATTTAATCTAAATTTTACTAATAATTCTTTAGAAAAATTCTAATCCACATTATTCTTTATATATTTTGTTTCAGTATAAATAATATCATTTCACATTATTATGTAGCATTTAATCTTAAAAGATGATGTATCTTTAAAAACTAAATTGTTTTTGGCATAAAGTTATTAACTTCCCGTAGAGCAAGTTATAGTAATCGCAAAGAAATCGAAAATGAAAATTTTTATACATCTTCACGTTTCAAAGGTTTCTGAATATTTTGGTATACCTTAGAAAAAATGGATGTATGTGTGTATGTGCGTGTGAGTGTGTGTGTGCGGATACAAATTTTCGTCGACGATTTCGGGAACACCGATCAACCGATTTGAATAATTCAAACAACATTCGGTTCGTATTGATAAGGAGACGTGCTGATTAGTTTTTGGCGAAGGCGGGTCTAGCCGTTCCGAAGTTATGGGACAAAAAGTGCCAAAAGCGGTAAATCAGTTTATACGAGAACGGAGCGTTCGATTTTAATAATTAAAAAAATATTTTAAGATAGAGAACTGATTAAATTTTCGAGAAGGCAGGTCTAGCGGTTATGGACTCTCAATAAAAATATGTTAAAAAAATGTCATTTGGCGATTAAGAATTTTAATTGGACACATGTACATCAAATTATCAGATATTTCATAGAGATTTTATTAATGTGTACACATTTTGTGTAATTTTTTTTGGGTTCCGTACCAAGATTTTTAATTTTAAAATTTACGTATATGGTTCAAACGCATGTCCTCGACATTTTCGATAGTATGGAATGAACGATTTGAATAATTTAAAAACCATTTGATTCGTATTGACATTGAGACGTGCTGATTAGTTTTTAGCGAAGGCAGGTCTAGCCGTTCCGAAGATACGGGGCAAAAAGTGCAAAAAACGGTAACTAGACGATTTTAATAATTCGAAAAATATTTTAAGGTGAAGAACTGATTAAATTTTTGGGAAGCCAGATCCAGCGGCTATGGACTCTCAATCAAAATAAGTTAAAAAATGTCATTTGGCGGTCAAAAATGTTTATTGGACATATGTACATCAAATTATGAGATATTTTATAAAAATTTTAATAATGTGTACACATTTTGTGTAACTTTTTTTGGGTTCCGTACCAAAATTTTTAATTACGGTACGGGAAGTTCTAGCAATTTGCCTTAAGGCACGATGCCATGTATCCCACAAGGTTTGTAATAATTTGTAATAATTTTAGTTTAGCTTGAAGCTATATTCATTTGGTAGTATTTCTATTTTTCAAATCGATCTTTGTCCTAATTCAAGGTATTGTCCTAATACTCAACTCTCCTAAGATACTTTACAAATGTAATTCCTTTCGTCCTCATTTTATATTAACAATTTATATTATATGAAATATGCAGCTATAACAATAAATTATAGAATGAAAAGCAATAAGCAATAGCTCCTGGAGCAATCTATGATTGTTATATCCAACATAATTCTCCGTGAGTGAACTTTGACAATGAATTATTTTGATTAAATATATGCTAACGCCAGATTGAGACATGCATCTCAGGATTGCAAAAAGAAAATATAATTTTAGTTTCCTTTTAAATTATTTCCGCATAATGCATTGTATTTAATAATGAAATATCTGTATTTATATAAAAGATAACAAAAATATATATTAGAATTATAACAAAAATTGATGCCTCTCCCAAATGGCTGATCCTCGCCTATACCTCAGTAAATAATGGCATCTGCGCATTTACTAGAATGTTTCAGGAAATAATTAAATAAACTCATATTATCTATTCATTCTAAAACATATCAGAATTATCCACATAAACATATTTAGTATATACACTCAGATAAGTATATAAGCTTCTATCCAATTTTTCTAGCAGGGAATGATAGGCCTAGACAGCAAAGTACCTACGAAAAATTCTTTTGATTTTTTGCTCTTTAGTAACTTTTTCTAATGGAATTTAAATTATTTCTCGAAATGGGAACAAAGAATGCTATAGGGCAATTATAGTAAAGACATTTTCTCAAACGGATATATATATATATCGGAGTGCAAGATCATATGTTACCCTAAGAACTTTAGCCCGAGGTCTTGTTCTAGACTGGCAGTGATGAGAATGGAACGGTGAAGACATGCCAGGTCAAATCACAGGGTCAACGAAATGGGATATTAAGTTGTAAACAATATCTAGGGTTTATTTAAATAATATAAGATAAAAAACTAGTGGTGCAAGGCATTTTGCTTTGGCAAGTTTCTGGAACTTCCCGTACCGTAAATTTAAATTTTTAAATGCTTTAAAAATTTCTGAGAAGTTTAATTTTATTTTTAGAGCAATCGCGTTGCGTAGCTGTTTTAGAAACGAAACATCAAAGCGCGTCACAGTCTAATGGTCAAACATTACAAATTTTGGCACGGAACCCATAGAAATGTAAACAAAATTTGTAACTATTATTAAAATCTCTATAAAATATCTGAAAATTTGATGTGCATATGTCTAAACTTTTTTTTTATTTTTGAAACCGCTAGAATTGTCTTCCCAAAAATGCAACCACTTCTCTATTATATTAATACAAGTAATATATATATTTTATTTATTCAAATCGAATGCTCCGTTCTCTCAAAATGGCAATTCTTATTAGTTTTTACCCCGTATCATCGAAACCTTTGTCAAAATCGTCAACAATCAGCACGTATTCGCATCAATACGATTTGAATGTTTTTTGAATTATTCAAAATGGACACACCGTTTTCTCAATATTGCCATTTATTTTACTTTATACCTCGTATCTCCGACACGACTAGACCTGCTTTTGCCAAAAACTAATCAGTATCAGAATTGAATAATTTTTGAATCATTCAAATCGGATGATCCGTGTTCTCAAAATTGTGAACGAGAAATTGTATTTAACATACATATATACTACATACACTGAAACTTAAAGATATATAAAAATTTTGATTTTCGATTTTTTTTTGCAATTGTTATACCTTACCCTATGGACACGACACAGACGATCTTCGCAAAAAACTAATTATCACGATTTCCAACCAATATTTTTCGAACAGTTTTGAAATTTTCAAATTAGATTCAGGATTTTTGTCTAAAACGTCAACAAACATTTTTACACTTTTCTTCTAATTACAAAGAAATAGCTTGGCAGATCGTCGCGCAAAACTGATAAATGCTAGTTGTTAACGAGTTACATAGTCTTTGCTTTCAAATTTTTGAAATCGGTTCAGCCGTTTTTCGAAAAACGTCAATGAATAGTGCAGTACTCTTAAAGTAATGATTTTATTATTCTCAAAAATTTTGTAAATATGAAATGGGGCACCTTTTTTAAGGCAAGTTGCATGAACTTACCAATACATGTAAATAAGCAACTTTAACCAATTATAATTTCTAAAACACGAGCAAGTCTGTTCTAAAAACATAGTCTATTATTCTCAACTTGAAATAATGTTTATAATTCAACCACTTTTTGTATTACTATAATATAATATTTAGGGACATTCATCTAACATTGTCATTGAACTGTGTCGCCATTGATCCGGCAATTTTCCGAAAACTAATCAGCATGATATTTCCAAACGATATTTTCTGAATAGTTTTTTAATTTTCAAAATCCTTTCAAAATTGTTTAAGAAAAACTAAACGAAAAATTTTGCACTGCTGATCATCTCAAAAAACTAACCAATGCGAGTTCTTATTGAGTTGCATGGAATGGCTTTTAAATTTTTTAATTTAGTTCAGCAAAAATCAAAATTTGGCTCAATTCAAAAACGTACTGCTCATTTTTTTAAACTTCTGTGCTTGTCATAGAACGGTAAAGTTTAAGCATGATCTTCAAAACCATGATCTCTATAGTTTGCTAAAAGTTTCATAAAAATCATCGAAGACAATTTTTCAACAAGAAACGGGATAGACGATCTTTACCAAAATTTAATCAGCAGTCAGCACGATTTACAGCCAATATCTCCCGAACACTTTTGAAAAAAAATTTAAGATGGATTTGGTCACCAGACATCGAAAAAATAAAAAATAAAAACTTTTTGTGTAACCGTTTTTTGTTAATAAGTAAACTGCAAGGTTTTAGATAATTACAAAACCCTGTTCCATAACATATCTTATTACCTTGCAGAAATAGCGCATTAAAGTATCATTTAGCAGCAGAATTGATTTGATGCAATTGATAAGAACGCGGCGTATTCTGTGGGAATAGTTGAAACGCTTCCTTATAAAAACATTGCCAGTTTAACAACTTACGTTAGGATTAAGTTATCGCTTCGAACAAAAAACGCAAAGATTCCATTACGATTCAATTAATATACAATTTTATTGTTATTTAAATACTTTGCTAATATAATTTATTCCTCTGTTAAATTTGTATGCAATTCTGACAAGAGGAGCCTAATATTTTGCGTTTTATGCAAATGGTGACGCTTTTCACATTATATCGCAAAATTATATAAAAGAATTCATACCATTTTCCAAAAAATATTTGTTTTTGTTAATGTTTTGTTTATTGCTGGGGTCTGAAAGAAATTGGCAAGAATGTTCACATATATTTCATTACTTAACTAAAGATGCTAAAAACCAATGTAAGTTTTTTATGTATATAGTCATCCAATTTTTATCGAGTCAAATTGGCGTGGTCCGTAAATAATCGTAATATATGATATGGAATGTTTATATCATTGACAATAAAACCAGACGCGACAAAAAAAATTTACTTATGTGAAAGTATTTGTATGATAATTCTATTTATATTCTATTTCCTATTCTGTTTAAAATTTTCAGAAGGTTCTAAAAATTAATTTGAAAATATTTTACGGGAGCTTATGAAATTGGGCGACGAGCGCATTCTATCAACAACTCGTGTGTATGTTTACAAAAGATTTGTTCAATTTATTTTCTAAATTTTGTTTTTTTTCTGAAATTTTAAAAATTTCATTTTTCATCATTTTAAAATTAAAAAAAAAACGATTTTTTTTTATATTTTGATATGCATATGTCTAATGATAATTTTTCAGATGTTTTTCTAATGATAAATTTTCAGAAACATGCTAAAAGTAAACTTATATGAAATTTTCCATTTTGGATTTTTTATGATTACTATAACTTACTCTACGGGAAGTTAATAAAATGTTTCCAAATCCATGGGTAGCGCATTATTTAATTTAAAAATTTAAAATTCATAGTTATAATCAATGTATCTATATAACTGTATTAATTTTTGCAATCTCTCAAATGAAGTATCTCAAATAAAGATATAATTCTTTACCAATTATAAAAAAATGTTGATTCTTTCGCATCTTTCGCAAAAGGTTTCGCAATCATTCGTAAAAAGTTTGACAATAATCGTACTTTTATAATATTTCATGATAATTATTTGTGGTAACAACTTATCAATTTCTATATATATATATATATATATATATATATATATATATATATATATATATATCACGTATGTGTAGGCATATATAAAGGATTGGTTTTGGATTCCAATGTGGTCACTTGTCAGCTTACCATATCAGGATGTTTTTACTAAAAATATTATTTTTTACATTAATTTTTGTGGTGTCTGTTGCAAATTGCAAAATTGTTCCAACAGATGAAGGTGTTGAAGGTTTGTGGAACTAAAATTTTAGAAGTCATAAACTCATCAAAATAATGTTAATGAATCAATATTTCTTTAATTTAATTTAATAAAATATATATTACATAAATAATGGATATGTCATTATAATTAAGTATTTTATACAGATATAAATATACCAAACGTATGGTTTCAAGATCACCATCGTACAGGGTATCAAGTTATATAAAAATGATTAATTTTGCATATTCTTGTAAAAATGTGAGTAACTACTATTACAGGATGTGATCCAAAATTATGGTGTGTGCATGCGGCTTTAGCAAAAGTTGGGGACAAATGCTATCACTTCAGTAACTTGAAGGTCGAAAAAAAAATGATTTAAATGTATCGTAAATAGTATTATTTCATAATATTTTTGTATTAAATTACACAGATGGATTGGGAAAATGCAAGACAATATTGTTTAAATCTCGGATTGACATTGGCTATAATTTCAAACAAAAAGGAAAACGATTATATGAGATGCCACATATTGAATATATCAGGTATGATAATTAATGTAATTTGTTACTGAGTTTGGAAATGTTCAGGAATGCGCTTAAGATCTTACAAATATGTTACATTATATATTTATTATTATAACTAGATCTAAAAAAAATTAAAAACAAAAACATAGGGTAAGTTATAGAAATCGCAAAACATTGAAAATAAAAATTTTTGCTTTCGGTTTATGAACATTTTGGCATACCTTAGAAAAAATTAATGTATGTGTGTGTTTATGTTTGGATACAATTTTTCGCCCACGATTTCAGTTGCAACAAACATTATACTTGTATTGATAAAATACAAGTGCATTGGATTTGAATTTTTCTCTTTTAACTTTCAAAAATATTCAAAGTTTTAGACTTCAAATATGAATTTCAAATTTACAATTCAGTTCAGTTCTGATCATTCGGCATCTCTTGCTAATGTTAACATTCTCAAGTGTTCTGAGCGATAAAATAGTCACAGTATATTTTATGAACAATAGAATTATCTATACGATAATTATCTATTTGAAAATGTTTAAAACTGTAATTCATCGTTGATCAATATTTATCGTTTACTATTTTTTTCTCGAATATTTAATACTGGTACGGGAAGTACCTGCAATTTGACTTAAGGCACGATGCCATTCACCACTAGTTTGAATACAAATTCTCTTTGAAATACATATTTTATGAGCACATTTTTCTTCATATGAAACTTTGTCAGAATAATTTTTCACCAGAGTTGGCCTAGCTATTAATTCAATTTATCTTTTGTAATATTGCTTTTTTATCTTATTTTACAGTTTCTGATTGTTTACACTTTGCCAATATAAAAGTTTATGTCTAAGTTGTCCTTTTCTCCCTAACCACGTAGAAGCTAATTGAGAAGCTATACAAAAAAAAGTTGAATCTATCTTAAAAATAACCATTCATCATAAGAACAATTATAAATAAAGCATACTTATAATTTATAATCAGTTATCGTAAACTAAGAAGCTTTGCTCAAGAAAAAAAAACTAATAATAAAAAAAAATTACAAAATTGACAATAAGGCCGTTTATCTCGTAATGCCAATGTCACCCGCCTTAAGGCGATGGCTGGTTACACATGTTTTGTCCTCTACTTTCAAATTTCTAACTTAACTTGTTTCTGATGTAATTGTATTCGACCATTAACCCTCGCTTTTTTTTGCTGTATTTTTCTTATACAAATATATTAATAATGGGTTGTACTGTCTTAAGGCAGGTCTGTGAGCTGATTAGACTCCAACTCGATTTAGTGAAGAAGTAGTGTGAGAGTTTTTCCCATTTTCATTTCACACCGTAGTGCCCCACGTGGGCTTATTTTCAATTGGAAATGGACATCGCGCTTCCCGATGTCAGATTTCCAGATATATATATATATATATACAGGGCCGGTCCTGGGGTCCTTAGCGCCCGCATGCAACTTTTTTTCTAGCGCCCCCCCCCCCTATTAATTTTCACCGTTTTAACAGTTTATCATTAAAATTATATATATTAATTTTTAATTATTCTGGATTTAGTACACAAAAAATTAGATATAATCTAGAAGGGTATAAAATATATTGATTTTAAATTTATTTATTATTATCGATATTAATAAATAAAACAATCCCTGTTATAATTTCACATTTTAATAATATTCAATATGTAGTAACATGTTTACTTATCTATGTGTAGTAAATTGGTTAAGGATGTAAGTTCGACTACCATAGCAAAAGAATTAATATTTTTGTTAGATTAAAGGTATAGAATTTAAGAAATGCTTTTCAGAAATAGTATTTATTATTTTGATAAATAAATAATAAGAAATAAACAAATTAATTTTTAATTATTCTGGATTTAGTGCACAAAAAATTAGATATAATCTGAAAGCGTATAAAATATATTGATTTTATATTTATTTAGAAAATCGAGGCGATTCGGGGTTTGATTATAATCAAGTATTTTGAAATTTTTAATTATTTTTAACGTATGTGCAATATTAATATTTAAAAAACTAGCATTTCAATTTCAAACATAACACTCGTATTTCATGTTGGGTTTTTTAAATTTTAATTTAATTTAATTTTTCATCATTTACAATATCCAAAATTGCGTCGTAAACTTCTTCTTATTGATATCGTAAAAGCCGTCATATTCAGAGTATCAGCTTGTTGTTTTAAAGTTAAATTTTTAACGTATTTTAGAATATTTGTATTGTCTAAAAATCAGTAAAAATGCAAATAAATTACACATTGTTGAACTATATTAAAAAAAACTTATTATATATGATATGTATTATTTCTGCATAGTTAATAATTATTATATTTAGAGTATGGTCACCACTAGGTATAAAAAAGCCTTAAGATTTTGGTTCCAAAGTAAATTTTGCTTCCATTTTTCATATTTGTTCCACGCATATCTTCAATATTCAAAGTTCAACAGATGCGAAACATTTGCAACAAAAGCAAAAGTTACAATTCAATATCTCGGAATAAACAAGTCATTTTCTAAGCACTGACTCCCCATTTTTTATAATCTGTTTATATTTTTTATCAAGTTCCGATTCAACTAAATTAGCTCGCAATTATTTGTCAATAATGCCCAACAATTAATTTAATCTTTCACAGGTTTGCGCTTATGGGATTGAACACTAGATCATTTCTTTTTCGATTCCACGGTAACTTCAAACAAAGAAAAAATTGAATAAGTAGATTAAGCAATAAGCAAAGCTATTATATATTAAATTTCAGAATTATTAATCGGTTAATTGTTTCTACTGATATCACATTGCAAAATAAATATGCTTTTTGCGTCTCTGTATCCCTAGTTAAGTTAAATTATTTATTATAATTTATTAAGTATTCTAGATTTTAAATAAATAATTCTAGATTTTATATAAAAAGAATATAAAAATTATATTATAAATTTAATTTCCGAAACTCTTTTTGGCGCCCCCTAAGCTTGCGCCCGCATTTTTTGCATGCATTGCATGCAAGGCAGGACCGGCTCTGTATATATATATATATCATATATATAAATATATGTTATTTGCTGCGATAATCTAAAGAGACATTGAATCGTGTACAAGTTTCTATTTAAAACATCCGTTTTTTTAAATGTAAGAATTTAAGTATAGATATATTTGACAATATAATAATATAATTTGTAATATACAATAATAGCAATACAACTCCGCCTACCAATAAAAGTGTAATAATAAAGCTAAAAATAAAATTAGGTTTACTGGCAAAATTAGAGTACCAATTTTCACAATATATTTATTTAAAATGAAATTCTTAAAGAAAAAATGTTATAATATTTCCAATACTTGGTAAATGATAAAAAGATTTATTTGGAGAAAAAATCTTTTGATTTAACAGATGATCCTCACGGAGATCGTTTCTGGGTCGCTGGTCATAAGGTTGATGGAAAATTTGAATGGTGGAATAATATACCAATGGATTACGCTAATTGGTTACCTACACAACCTGATAACTCCAAGGGCATTGAAAATTGTATGGAAATGAGAGAACTTTCTACGGGAAAATTTGGATTTAATGATGCTCCATGCAGTTTTCAACACATGCCAATATGTCAGACAAAAACAAGTTTTTATTAGAAACTTTCATGATAATTGATATAATTGATGTAAATCATAGTATAAGAATAAATAATGTTAAAGTTTTTTTATTATTTTATCATACATATCATCTACATAATTCTTGAAGTAAAACTGCTTTAGGCGCGACATGGGTGTAAATCCGTACAATTGCAACGGAAGTGAGTTACGGCGGGGACGAGTGCCAATGATTCGTCATTCGCTCTCGATGAGATTATTTCTATATGGGTCGATTCTGATTGGTCGTCGTAATAAAACTGTATCGCCAGCAAAAGACTAAAAAAAAACGAGCAATCAATGATTGTATATTAATTTTAATTACATGAAGTTTTTCAAACACAATTACATGATAAGTGGAATTGTGAAAACAATATTTATTTAGGCGTTGTTTAACATGATACTTCTCTGCATTTTTATAGATATCAAAACACATTAAAGCAGTACTGCTTTATTGTTACATGCCGAAGATATATCTTTTTCAGAATTATATCTCAGACACTTTTGGAAGTTTAGCGGAGTCTACATGTTTTTCGTTTATGATGGCTATTAAGTATTACAAAGTTGCATATAAATAATGAAGAATAAATTGATATTCAGATTTATCACTCTAAACAAGAGATCAAACACAACAATAGTTTGTGTAGCTGTGTATCAAGATATACTTTATAACGGTCAATGGACATCTATGCAGTTTATTCATTGCTAGTGTTAATGAAATTATTCAAGATTGTTATATTATAGCTGTCTACTGTGTGAACAAATATTATAGACTTTATTACTTAGTAATTACTTTATTTCTCCAATAAAGGTTCAAGTCCTAGATGCTATTTCTAATGAAAAACCGCTCATGTCGTATGGCTTTAATTGCATTATTGTTTTTAAATATTATAAATATCTTTAATGTTATTATAAATTTATAATTTATTATTTTATAAATATGTATAATGGTTGCCATTAAAAAATGTGTGCATCACGACCACGAGTGTAACCACATTACTGATGAACATTATTCAAAATTGTTATATGAAGTATTTTTAACTTAAATGCCATCGAAATATATTGCCATCACTGGAAAAATTTGTAATTATTTATTATTAATTGTGAAAAATATGTATGTCAGTCGCAAATCTTTTGCCAAATATCATATTTTTCCAACAACTATATTTCATGACAAATGTTTGCGGTAGATTATATATATCATATACAAATAACATATCAGTATCTCTATATATAGAGGATCCTCTATATATAGAGGATTGTTTGATTTTTTAAAGTTAAAGTTTTTTTGTTAAGATGTTGTGGGTTAAAATATTAGTTTTTACATTAATTTTTGTGATATCTGTTGCACAATGCAGAATTGTTCCAACAGATGATGGTATTCAAGGTGTGTGAAACTAAATTTTGCAAAAAAAGCTTATGAAAATGACAATATTGTAACAATATTTTTATATAATCGTTGGCATACGTAATGTGTTATTACTATAGAATATTTCATAAATTTAAATCTATGCAACTTTTTATATTATAGGCTGCGATCCAGAATCATGGGGAGTGCATGCGCCCTTAGTAAAAGTTGGGGATAAATTCTATCACTTTAGTAACTTGAAGGTAAAACATATAATTATTTAAACGTTCATTCCATAAAGTATTATTTTAGATTCTATTTTATTGTATTAAATTATGTAGATGAATTGGGAAAATGCAAAACAGTATTGTTTAAATCTCGGGTTGACATTGGCTATAATTTCTAGCAAAAAGGAAAACAATTACATGAGATGTCACATATTGAATATATCAGGTATGAAAATTGTATACTGACTTTGAAAACGTTGAGAAATTTTCTGAATAATACTAACATTTAAAAGTATTGCAACATCACTCATTAGAGCTAGAATACTCATTTGAAGTTTTATGCAAGAATATCGAAATATATTTATAACACAAGCCTTTAAAGAAAAATTTTCAAATTTCTTGTTTTGTGACCAAGATATAGCATTGCACTTGGTATAATTATGAGTAACATTATTCAAGAAAAAAATCTTTAAATCGACAGATGATCCTCACAGTGATCGTTTTTGGATTGCTGGTCATAGAGTTGATGGAAATTTTGAATGGTGGGACAACATACCGTTGGATTATGCTAATTGGATTCCTACGCAACCGGATAATGCTCAAGGTATTGAAAATTGTATGGAAATTAGAGAATTTCACACAGGAAAATTTGGTTTCAATGATCTTTCCTGCGATTTCGAACTCATGCCAATATGCCAAACAAAATCAAGTTTTTATTGAGACAATTTATGATAAAAGTGGCAATATAACCACAATTAATTTGTAGTAAAACATGAATGTATCAATAAATGTTTTAAATGTTAAATCACATGAAAATCAACTTCTTTTTATTAGGTAATATTTGTACACAGCTCTTAGATACAGAAAAGGTACTTTTTTAAAAAGTTTATTGTTGTAACAGATTAAAACTTGTACTATTTGTAGAATGAATTTAAAATCAGAAAGATTTGTATTGTACATCATCTGCCGCTCTCGGTACGGTTAATGTGTATAAAACATTGATACTTATTATGATATTCTTTCTGAAATTTAGTTGGTAAACAATTTTTTTCTATGTCTACAGCAGCATGAAAAATAGAGATTCTCAAATCTGTGCTAAAACTACATTGAACTAAATTTTCACTATATTTAACGTTCGTTAACAACATACTTGGAAATGTCTTCATATTTACATATATGGTTGAATATTATATTAATGTACTTATATAATATTTAAGCATATAAATACAAGATATCAACATTTTGATACTCTATCTTTTGCACTCTAAGTTAAACTTCTACTCACACTTGATATAGAATTAGAATGAATCTTAAAAATCCATAATTGAACATGTGTTCTTTGCATTTTGTAATTGAAAAAGGGCACATTTTCAGATGAAAGGAATGAATTATTTTCTTTTACTAGCAAATCAGTTGATACCATCAAATGCATTATGTAAATACTGGCGTCAATACCGAAATTAATGAACAAAAATAAATAAAAAGAGTGCGTGCAAAGTTCACACGCGATTGAAGTAAAACTTATTTGCTACAGCAAGATGGCATTTAAGTAAAAATAAATGCATCATATAACAATTTTGAATAATGTTTATTAGTAATATGGTAACACTCGTGATGCACACATTTATTAGTGTCAACCATTATACACATTTATATAATGATAAATTATAAATTATATATTTATAATAGCATTGAAAATATGTATAATATTTAAAAACAATAATGTAATTAAAGTCATACTTCAAATATGTAATGATCGGTTTGTCATTGTATTTAGCATTTAGAAATGAACATTTGTTAGAGAAATGAAGTAATTGATGATTAATAACCTTTATAATATTTGTTCACACAGTGGATTATGTTAAACAACGCCTAAAAATATTGTTTTTGCAACTTCACTCATCATGTAATAATTATGTTTGAAAATCTTCATGTAATTAAAACATACATTCATTGACTGTTTTTTTTTACTTTTTCGCTGGCGATATAATCTCATTCTTTGAACAGCTGTAATATCTGTTTTGCCTAAAAACGAATTTCATTTCAATAACTTCAAAGATTTATAGGAACTACAAATAATATAGAAATTATTTCAATAAACTTATGTTTCATTCACGCGCAAATCCTGCATTTGTTTTATTATTTTCATTTTAATTATTTACGGGGGACAGGGTAAAATATCCTTCTGATTTAGGCATTTTTCATTAAATCAAGATTTGTACTACGAATTAACTTTAAAATGTTTATTTATCTATGCCGATTTTATTGTTGGTATCGGTACGCATGCAACGTTGATGCCGGTACGCATACCACGACAGATCTTTTTTCACATACACGACGACTAATCACAATCCGTATAGAAATGATATCATCGAGAGCGAATGACGAATTATAAGCACTTGAGTCGGCCGAAACGCACTTTCGTTGCATTTGTACGGATTTACACCTAGCTGCGCCTAAAGAAGTTTTACTTCAAAATAAAATTTTAACAGTCCATTTCAAAGAAACGGTTTGGTCGATCTCTGTTCAAAACTAATCAGCACGATTCTCAAATATACTTTCAAATAAATTTTGAATTATTAAAATCGTGTCAGAACTTTTGGCTAAAACTTTTTTACTTTTCTATTAATTACCAAGAAAAGGTTCGGCAGATCGTCGCACAAAACTGAGAAACGATAGTCCTCATCGAGATATATCGAATGGCTTTTAAATTTTTGAAATCGGTTCAAACGTTTTTGAAAAAACGTCAATGAAAGGTCTAATTTCAACAAACGCCAAAAGAACGTCACTAATTTTTGCAAACTTGGACGAATTTTCAAAATTTTACTACTTGTCGTAGAGTCGTGATATTTTAGTATGATCTATAAGACCGTGATATCTATCGTCAAAAAAAAAAATTAACAGTTAATTATGAGAACACGAGTTGACCGATCTTTACCAAAAACTAATCAGCACGAGTCCCAACCAAAACCTTTCAAACGATTTTTGAATTTTTGAAATCTATTTAGAATTGTGTGACAAAGAATTTTACACTTTTTTGCTAAAAATAAAGAAACGGCTTGGCCCATCGTGGGCAAAACTTATAAGCACTAGTCTTCATCGAGATACATCGAATGGCTTTTAAATTTTTTGAATCGGTTCAGTCGCTTATGAGAAAACGTCTACGAAAGGTTAATAATCAGATCACATACACACACACATACTTTTTACCAATTTGGTCTGATTCGATTCAGAATTATTTAAAAAGTCGAGAAAACATGAAATTAGCGAGTCAGATTTTTTTATGAAACATATACTTCTCCTTCGGGAAGTTAAATATAGATAAAATAACCGCAGTCTGTTTTTGCCAAAAATAGTATTTTTATCAACTACATTTTATGACAAATATTTCCGGTAGATTAAATATATCGCATATATAACTTATCAGAGTCTCTATATATAAAGGATTGTTTGATTTTTTAAGGCTTCAATTGTTGTCGGTTGTCTTGTTACGATGTTGTGGGTTAAAATGTTATTTTTTATATTATTGTCTGTGATATCTGTTGCAAATTGCGGAATTGTTCCGACAGACGATGATGTTCAAGGTTTGTGGAACTAAATTTTGTGGAGAGCGAAGCTCATATAGAAAAATCAATATTAAAACAATGTGGCTCTAATTAAATTTAATCATTGAAGAAACATTGATGATTTTATGTAACTTTTATTACAGCATGTGATGGAAAATTATGGGGTGTGCATGCGACTTTAGTAAAACTTGGAGACAAATGCTATCATTTCAGTAACTTGAAGGTGGAAACTAAAACAATTATTTAAAAGTGTGTAGTAAATGGTGTTAAATCATATTATTCTTTATTTAAATTGTGCAGATGAATTGGGAAAATGCAAAACAGTACTGTTTAAATCTAGGTTTGACATTGGCTATAATTTCTAGCAAAAAGGAAAACGATCACATGAGATGTCACATATTGAATATATCAGGTATGAATAATAATTGTAATTTGTTACTGAGTTTGGAAATATCTAGAAATTCGTTTCTGACTGAAGTGTTATATAATTACTCACTGTATTTTATAGTACAATATTAAAACAAACAAAAACTTCTAGAGCTGGTATGTTCAATTTAAGTTGGAATATAAGAATATATTTCTAACACAGAAATTTGAAGATAAAATTTTAAAATGTCTTGCTTCATAATATTGTGGTCAATATAAAAAGTTCATTTGTGCTAAGTAACAATATTTGAAAAAAAGTTCTTTAATCTAACAGATGATCCTCACAATGATCGTTTCTGGGTTGCTGGTCATAGAGTTGATGGAAAATTTGAATGGTGGGACAACATACCGTTGGTTTATACTAATTGGATACCAACGCAACCTGATAACTATCATGGTATTGAAAATTGTATGGAAATCAGAGATTATTATACAGGAAAATTTGGTTTCAATGACCTTCCCTGCGATTTCGAAATCATGCCAATATGCCAAACAAAATCAAGTTTTTATTGAAGAGACTTATAAAAGTAGTGGCAATATAACCACAATTATTGGATAGTAAATCATGAATCTAATAAGTGTTTTAGATCTTTGAAACTTTTTAAAATAAATTGAGAAGTGGAAATCTGTTGAACAAGCATATTATGCATTGCAGATTAAACGTGAAAGTCTACAACATGCATAGAAAAATTCATTCAAAACAATTTATAACAATATATTTTTTATTAGTTTAATTAATTTATGAAAGCTGAATCAAATACATCCAGAGCACCAAATTACATGAAATTCAATTATGTTATATTTGTATAGCTCTTAATGAACGAATTCGGAACTTTCATGATTGCACTTTTTCTTACTAATTTATTGTAATAGTAGATTAAAACTTGTACTATTTGTAAAATGAATTTAAAATCAAAAAGATTTGTATTGTACATCATCTGATGCTCTCGGTATGATTCCGTTAATGAAAGAACTGCTTACTAGTAGTGCTTACTAGTAGTGAATACAGAACATTGATACAAATTATAATATTTTTTCTGAGATTCAGTTGATGAACAAGTCTCATTTATGTCTGCAACAGCATGATAAATAGAGATTCTGAAACCTTTGCTAAATTGTCGCAAAAACACATATGAAAATGTCTACTTATTTGCATATATGTTTAAATATTATAATAAAGTGCTTGGATATTATTTAAGCATATAAATACAAGATGTCAAATCAATTTTCTAACTCTTTATTTTGCACTCCAAGTAAAACTTCTACTCACGCTTTATATAGAATAGGAAAGAATCTTAAAATATCATAATTGGATATGTATTCATTGCATTCCGTAATTGGAAAGGGCACATTTTAAAAAAAAGTTATAAATCTTTTTACTAGCAAGTCAGTTGATATCATTTAATGTATTTTGTAAAAACTGGTGTCGATATCAGAATAAATGAGCAAAAATTTTAAAAAATATTTCGATTGATTACTTTTAATAATTGAAAGAAACAGATTTTAAAATAGACATGGAAATATAGCAATGCTTTAAATCATAGTCAATAATTGATATTCTCTCAGAAATTGCACAAAAAAATATGGTTGCTAATCAAAATAAGTTGTAGTAATCTCAAAAAAACAAATCTTTTACGTTTTCAGGACTTGTATATTTTGCAATATTTTAGAAAAAATGGATGTATGTGCGTGCATGTGTTTGAATACCATTTTTCGTTCACGATTTCGAGAGCACGGATCAACCAACTTAAATGATTTATAAAACATTCGATTGCTATTGATGGGGAGAGGTGCTGATTAGATTTTATTGAAGGCAGATCTAGCCGTCTTGGAGATACGTGCCAAGAATAGCAATTTTGAAAAAGGGAGCGTTTGAATTAAGTGATTTAAAAAGCGTATCACTTGTATTGATATAATGAAGAAACGGCTAAATTTTTGGAAAGACAGGCCCAGCGGTTTTGTAGATCCAATAAAAATGCCATTTGATCATTAGAAATATGTACATCAAATTATCAGATAATTTATAGGTATTTTAATAATAAACATTTTTAACATTTCTATGAGTTTCGAACCAATATATTCATTAGACGGCGACGCGGCGCTTACGCGCTTCGATTATTTGTCTGTAAAACAACTATGAAAAAAAATTTAATTATTCAAAAGAGTCAATGTTTTCAAATTTTTCAAAGTTTTCAAAATAAAGTTGTTTTTTTTAATTTAATGTTTCGTGTGGAAAAGTACAAGCAATTTGACATAAGGCACGATGCCATGCACCACTAGTCTATAAAATTTATTTCGTCTTCGGTGAAAATAATAAAATAATAAAGCTAAGAAACTTCTACAGTTCGTGGTACAATATCGTTACAAAAATGTAAATTCCTAGAATTTCATAATTAACCAGTTGTATATGACGTCTCTTAAGGCAAATTGCTGGAACTTTCCGTACCATAATGAAATATTAGAAGAATCAAATTCAGTAAAAAAAATATATTTTTTGAAAATCAACAAAAAAAAAGTCTTTCCCCAAAAGCAATCTTTTCGTCAACACAAGCAGAAAGTTTTCTGAATCATTCAAATCGAAAGCTTAGAACTCTCAAAAACTACCATTTTTGCATATTTAGCTCAGTATCTCCGAAATTGCCGGGCCTGCCTTTGCCAAAAACTATTGAACACATCTTCCTATCAATAGAAATCGAATATTTTTTTAACCGTTCAAATCCGTTGATCCGTGCGCCCGGTAACGTGGATGAAAAATTGTATCCATACATACACACACACTCGCACACACACATCGATTTTTTTCTAAGGTATGCTACGGGAAGTTAATTAATAAAGATGAGATAAATTCAAAATCACAAATGTTTCAATTACCTCTCACCGCAGTTCGCCGTGTTTTCCGCCGTAACGCTTTTGCTATTCCTTCGGTCACGGCTATTAGAAGCGTTAATTAATTCGCTGGACGTTATACATAGTTTGATTTGAATTGTAGAAACAATTTTAATGGATTTGCTGTCATTACAAGGTAGTGTTAATTTATAAGGCGCCAGCGCATTGCAGTTTAGTAACTCAACACCGATGTGTGAATGCCACCACGAGAGCATTGCGATATGTTACTTAAACTGTTGTTTTTATGCATTTAATCGGATATAAATTTAGTTTTGATTTAGGTCAAATATTTGATTTATGGGACGTAGACCACTACTAACGACTACTGTTATAAATAAATAAAAATATGGTAGAGCGGAGCTTAAAGGTCCGCGGGTAAAAAGGACACTACCAATATATCTAAAATACAAGTAAAATTAAGATTTTTTTTAACAACAATATTTGAAGTAGAGGCCAAAAATGTATAACCAATCAACACCTTGATTCTCAAACTCTCTGTCAAAAGTATTTTTTTCGTTATTAGCTTTTTTGGTTGTGAGCACTATTGTTTAGTTTACGAGACTTCAATATAATTTGTTTTTGAAGATGTATTCTTATTTTTAGATTAAATTCAAGAGGTTTTTAATATAACTTCTATAAAAGCTTTCATGTGGTAGGGGTAAAAACAATCAGCCCTGTCCTGAACAATAAAAATTATTAAAGTGAAAAGTGAATTAGGTTTTAAAAAGCAATTTTACAAAAAATAAATTGAATAAATAGTACTTATAAAAATTGTTAGTTGCTCCATATCTTCTGATGAATATTTCTGACTAAACACCAGATCAAGGTTATATACAGAATTAACTCTGTAAAAAATGTACCCATAAAGTTTATGTTTTGCATTGTTTGAATAATGTAACTATTAAGTCCTTTCAAAATTAAAAAATAATACACTGGGATGTGTTCGTCTCTTGGCTGTGAGGTAAAAAGAGACAGAAAACAAATTTTAGAAAAGCAGTTACAAACATTTTTAACTTCCCATAGTATAAGTTATAGTAATCGCAAAAAAATCGAAAATGAAAATTTTTACATATTTTTACGTTTTAAAGGTTTCTAAATATTTTGGCATACCTTGGAAAAATGGATGTACGAGTATATGTGTGGATGTGTATGTATGTAAGTGTATGTGCGTAAGTGTATGTGTGTAAGTGTATGTGTGTATGTGTGTGTGTGTGCGGATACAAATTTTTGTCTACGATTTTGGGATCAACCGATTTGAATAATTCAAAAAACATTCGATTCGTATTGATAAGGAGACGTGCTGATTAGTTTTTAGGCAATGGCAGGCTTAGCCGTTCCGAAGATACGGGGCAAAAAGTGCCAAAAACGGTAACCCAGTTTTTAAGAGAATGGAGCGTCCGATTTTAATAATTCAAATAACATTTTACTTATATTGACAAGATGAAGATTCCGTTAAATTTTTGGGAAGGCAGGTCCAGCTGTTATGGACTCTCAATGAAAATAAGTTAAGAAATGTCATTTGGCGGTTAAAAATGTTTATTGGACATATATACACCAAATTATCAAATATTTTATAGAGATTTTAAAAATGTGTACACATTTTGTGCAATTTTTTTTATTCCGTACCAATATTTTCAATTATGGTACGGAAAGTTCCAGCAATTTGCCTTAAGAAAGATGTCACGCACCCCACTAGTTATCATTAGGAATTAATTAAGAATATTACTGAACATAGTTTGTTAGTTGTTTATTTGATATATATTATGTGTTGTGATAGAGTTCATTTGGATTATGCAGTATAATTACTTAAAGTCAAATTGGACATTTGTGCCCCGCCCTGAAGATTTTTTTGGCAATGCAGCAATGACGGGCAAGATCTATTTTCACTTGGAAACCAATTGGTATCTATATTTCTATAGTAACTATATAGTAAAATCTGATTCATACTACTTGAAAGCAGGTTGTCCGAGGCGGGTAATGAACATGAAACTTCTATTGCACGTGGTAGCTCCAAAATCTAGAATAAAACGTAAACTGCAATTCAATCTTCTGTCAACTAGAATAAAATATCTTCTTACAAAAGCTAATAGTCTACCATCATTTATGTTGAATTCTTGAGCATATAATTTTTTAACTCATTTATGTAATAATTTGCAACATTGGAATTTCACCAGTTCAAAGAACAGTAATGGTTTACGAATCCAACCAGTAGTAACAGAAGTATTTCTCGACGTACTGTTATGCAGGAGTATCATATTTCCTAACTTTTTGCAGAAACGTTTGCTGCATTAATGCGTCGCTAGCTTGTCTCTAACTCTAATCAACATCTTTACTTTATTTAAAGCAAGATTATGTTTGCTTTTTAATTTATTGTCCCCGACTTTCTAAATGACGATTTAGCGTTAAACAGATTGTATCTCTTGACATGTTTAATGGATTATAAACAAAACAGGCTGTATTTGATTAGCGACTGTGATATTATATTTCATACGCTTAGAACTTTCTGTATTATCAACACATCTAATAGAAAATGAAATGAATAAAATTGTATGTTATATGAATACGACACAGATTGTATCATATATCATTTTCATATTTTATGCAAATAAGCGTACATATCTAATATTATTATTGCACTTCATAATTATAAAACAGGGATTATACCAGATTTATATAACTATGGAAATGTGTTAATCCACATTGAATAATTATTTTCAAGCTTAATAAAAAATATATTAAAAAATATTGTTTACATAAATAAAAATGTAATATGAAATATTATTTTGTTATCCTTTAATGGCAAAGCTGACTTGATCGCCACTTCACATAAAATCCATTTGCAGGTGATTGGAAACACGTTGTATTTAATTTTGTGAAGACCAATTCTGTGGAATGTAGGAGAGTTATAAAGTTGACATCTCTGCATTTTCTGGTGTTATCATCTTATTTGGTGCGAATGATATTTATTATAGCTTGCTGTGACCGATGGCCTTGGGTTTTGGATAAGTAGGCGTTTAGAAGACCGGTAGTTAAAACTGATTAATATGCCCGCGATAACCCGAGGTCTGGACATACTAAATGGGTATGCCGACGGAAGTCCAGTAGTCAGGGCTAGTAAATGTGTTAGCCTGCGATGACCTGAGGATTGGGCACACTGGATAAGTAGGACAACGGAAGACCAGTGGTCAGGGTTAGCAATG